CTGCTAGGGACATGGTCTCATAGAACACAGCTTCCACAGTGGTGATGAGGCGGTTGGACTCCAAGTCCAGCACGGTCCAGCCTTTGCTCGCAGCTGACACACCCAAGTGCAACCCCCAGCGAGCCTTAGGCGCCAGCTTCCCCCCACGCTGCGACCGTGGTACCATGTACTGCAGCATGCAGCCCCAAACACGCACCATACTGACATCAGGTTTGCGTCGGAAGGCGAGCTCGTACGGCGTCACACCAGAGGGTAGTGAGGCGTGCTCCACGCGGTTGCGCACCCAGACGGCCTGAGCCAACGCCAGGTGCCACCAGTGATGCTGCACACCCATGTGCAGCAACATCGTCCGCACCGCCTCCACAATGCTGCGCATCTCCCTCTCGGCCATCCCGTTCTGCTCTGGCGTATACGGGCATGTGAGGTCATGGATGATGCCTTTACCGTCGAGGAAGAGCGTGAAGTCGTGCCCCAGGAACTCGCCACCCCGATCAGTGCGCAGCGCCTGCACCGTGGTCTTGCACTGTCGCTCTGCCATCGGGAGCCACTTTTGGAACGCCGCCAGCGCATCACTCTTCTGGGCCAAAGGGTAGACCCAGACATATCGCGTCTTGCGATCCTTCAGCACCAAGAAGTAGCGGCTGCCGTCCTTAGCTGCTTCACGGAAAGGGCCACACAGGTCAGCATGCACCACCCCGAGCAACTCATCCTCCTCCTCTCCCACAGAAGGAAAGGTATGATGAGTGATCTTTCCCCCAACACAGGAAACACAAGGTATGCCCGACTTGCCCCCCTTCTCCAAATCCAAGCCCTTCACTGACCCGTGAGCCGCTGTGCGCTCGATGGCATCAATACCAACGTGTGCCATACGCGCATGCCACAGGTCCCCCTTAGACCGCACGCCCGTCGCCAAGGTACGAAGTGCCACCGTTTCGCCTTCCTGCTGCTGCGTCGAACACGGCTGGAAGTTCGTGCAGAGAACACGCCCCTTGAACTCCGCACGACCAAGGAGCGATCCATCTGGTGCCCGCAGCAAAGTTACATCCCCGGCATCCAGCAATTGCACACCACATTCACGCAGCTGCCCAGCAGAGAGAAGACTCGCCTGCACTCCTGGTACGTACAGCACGTCCGGCACCAAGACACGCCTGCCCCCCTCTCCAAGAAGAGCGACTGTGCCCCGCCCCTGCACCTCCTGAAGCGCGCCGTTGAAGCCAGTAACCTGTTTAATACTGCCGCCGCTGCTCATCTCCACAAAGGCAGAACGATCTCCCATGAGATGGTGGGAGCATCCGCTATCAAGCAGCACGACGCTCGGGTTCGCCTTCACAGCAGCTGCAACAGCCTGTAAGGCCTCCCCGCCCTCAGGCTCTAGCACAACGAGAGGAGTCTGCTCCACAACGGGCTTCACCATCGCACATGATGATTGCCCGCTCCCCTTAGAGCCATCACCCCCCTTTCCGCTGCTACCTCCAGAACCCTCTCCACCGGTGTCTGCCTCCTTATCCGCCCGCTGCTGACAGTACTTAGCAACATGCCCTATTTGTCCACACACATAGCACTTCCCTTTGAAGCCCCCTTTCCCCCCCTTCGGCTGGCCATCCTTACCCCCTTTCCACTTCTCCCCTCCCCCACTAAGCCCACCCCCATTCTTAGGTTGTTGCTGCTGTGCCGTAGTGGGAGGGGAAGGGAACGAATTTTGCTGGAATTGGGGCTTACCCTTCTTGGTAAAGACCTGGTTAGCCTGGGGAAGGAATTGGTCCTTTCGTCCCTCTGACGCCAGCGTACATTCCTCCTCGATGATGTAGCTAGCGAGGGTGTTCTCGTCCAACTCCTTGCGCACCTGCGGCAACTTCAGCATCCTGCGTAAGAGGTTGTACTACTGCGGCAACCCCTTCACAACGTGAGTGATGTACGACGCCTGCGAGTAATCTACGCCGGCCATCCTCAGGTTCACTAGGATCTGCTGCGCACGGTTGCAATAGGACGTAGCGGACTCATGCTCTCCCATCTCGAGGTTAGTGAGCGCCTGCTCTAACTGACCGATGTACAGATCGTCCTTCGCCATGTACGTGCGCATAATAAACTGCCATGCCTGATAGCCGGCATCAACCTTCATGCGACACGCCTTAAGGGCGATTTGTACGGTTGGGGAGCAGCATCGGGAAATAGTGGTGAATGTCAGCAACTGCATCGCGCGGAACTGAGAGAGATGCGCAAGCGCACGCGCTGGTGGAATAGGGGTGGTGCCATCTATGAATCGCTTTAGCTGAGCGATCTCAAGCTGCGGCTCGATTGATTCTGTCCACGTCGACAGGTCGTGACGTCCTTCTAACGGACTAGTGACAACGATCTTGTCTGGAGTGAATCTGAAGTAGCCATAGTTGGGGGCTATTCCCTCGTCCCTCGACATCGATCCAATCGGGGTAACGCCCGGCATAGTCTCACTATCGAACTCTTCCGCAATTCCTCCTCCAGCAACGCTTCGCCGTCCTACATTCGCATGCTCTCGTGACGCTGCTGCACGATGAACACGCTCCTGTACACCGCCGACGCTAGCCGTACTAAACCGAGTTGGTCTTCGCAGGACCCCACGCGACATCAACCCATCAAACTCCTCGTCATCGCTATTTCCGCCATCGACAGCCATATCCCACGCACTCGTACCTCCCGCAACTTGCTCAACATTCTCTACACGTGGGGAAGGGTGCTCACGACGCCGACGCGAGCGCAATCCCTCCAACATTAGCTCGTATTCAATATCACTAATCTCACCACGAGAATGACGAGCCACGAGATCCTCCTCTAGAGTGCGCAAATTACCGGCCTCCGCGTTCGCCTCCTCAGTACTCATCCTCTACGACGTCTCTATAAGGTACCACAAATTAAAATAAAGTGCCCCTTCCTTAAATCCCTCGTCTCGGGGTCACCTCACAAGGGTCCTCAGACGAGTGGTAATAAATTACCAAACGCCCTATCCTTGGGTCCGAGAACGTAACTGGAGGGAAATCAAGAGAGGTTCAACTTAGATTAATAAGCGCCCTTCACTAACGCCGCACGCCAAGGCGAGTATACGAACGCGAATATCAACGACGACGTAAATCTATGCGTGTTCGTTCCACGCTCACCGCACCATGAAGGAATCTATTAGAGAGCGTAGCGATAACGAGAGAGTTTCTGCTATGGGAATGATGTTGCGCCAGCAACTTGGTAGAGTTTCGGTAGCATTTGCCTCTAAGGACTTGGTGAGAATTGAAGTAGCATTTTGGACTTCACTAGGAACATAGAAAATATATCAAACACACAAGCAACACAAACATATATAGGCAGGCGAGGGTTTCACAAGAGGTTGCGTGGGCGCTGCGAGTAACCCAACCCCACGAAAGTGGTGTGTGGGTGAGCGAACGCGCCTCGCCAATTTCTCAACCCAACTCAGCATCGACTTCTCGCTTCCGTGCACACCACTCCACCAACCTAGCAAAGAGTGGTGCGACTCTCAAGGAAGCACCAACAACTCCCACGGACTCTCACTTCTTCATGCGACCTCCATCGAACTCATTCGTCGGTGCCGAGTAGACTCAGTCGCTAGGCGTCGACCTGCCAAGTCAAAGGTCATCGAGGGCCCTTGCTGTTGTAGGGCCCTCTAACAGAATCTTCCCAGAGGAATCTTCCCAGAGGAATCTTCCCAGAGGAATCTTCCCAAAGGAATCTTCCCAGAGGAATCTTCCCAGAGGAATCTTCCCAGAAGAATCTTCTCAGAGGAATCTTTCCAGATGAATCTTCCCAGAAGAATATTCCTAGATGAATCTTCCCAGAGGATCTTCCCAGATGAATCTTCCCAGAGGAATCTTCCCAGATGAATCTTCCCAGAGGACTCTTCCCAGAGGGACCTTCCCAACATAGTAAGGGCAGTACACCTCTTGTGCGCTCTTTCGCTTCTTGCTATTGCGCGAGATTCTCAACGATCTTTCTGTAATCACCCATCCGTGCGTCTACTCCTTTTGTTCCGCTCGTTTGTTACATCCATCCCCATCCCCCCACACACTCTTCTTCCCCCCCCCCCTCCCTCTCTACCCACCCCACTGCCTCTACGCTACTTCCTATACCATTTCTGAAACTCTGAAACCTTTACTCCTCAGTTTTTTGCTCTCTCTCACTATTCCTGCACTTGCCCTCACCAGTAGGGCGGCATCCACCTCTTGAACAGGACTTCTCCTGTTCATCCCTTCCTTTCTCTCCGTCCGATGTAACCATTATCGTAACCCCTTTCATTTCACCTGCAGGGCAGCAATCCGCTCTAGCTCAGGACTTCTCCCACTCTTCCCTTCCCCCCCTTCTTTTACCTCCTTCTCCTGTGACCTCTATCCTACCTCCCTTCCTTACCTCCTTCCCCTGTGTCACCGAATAGATTGTTAGTTGCAATATATTCAGTTACTCACTAGTGTAGGTGTAGTTGGGTTATTCGAAGCACTGTAGAAGGAGAGTTCGGTGCGTGGGCAGTGACGCAAAGTGGTGACCGAGGGACTTGCGAGGCGCAGGGTGGGACAAATTCAAGGGCGAGCCCTGGGCAATCCGAAGGGCCAATCCTGAAGCCTAGCGGGCGGAGCCCAATGTGAGTTACGGGAAACTGCGCGGCACGGGGTAGAGATTCAAATAGGCTAGGAACTCACTGCTCAGTTCGTTCTCTCGTTTGTTTGCCTCGTATAGTGGATCCAAACTACCGTTTCAAGCTAGCTCCAGCTAGGTAGCTAAAGCCACTGTGGGCAGCCATCGTGTGGGAGCGGAAATCTCTCATGGTAGTGGCTGAGGCAGAGCAGGTAAGGTAGCACAGGAACAGAGCTCAGAAGAAGAAGGGAGCGAGGGTGAGTCCAGGAAGGAGCAGGCAAGCCACGGGATGCAACAGAGGATGATTCTCCGACACCTGTAACTTCTATCCTACCCCCCTTCCTTTACCTCCTTCCCCTGTAATCTCTACCCTGCCACGTTCTATATGCCTGCAGGGCAGCAGCCCGCTCTAGCGCAGGACGTCTCCATATCATCACCAGCAGCAGCAGTGTTTGAGCGCACGTGTGCCGGCTGCCATGCTGGGGGAGGGAACCTGCTTAAACCGGTACGTTGTTACAACACACACGCCAGCAGCCTAGGCCTCGATCCCTACTTATCGTCCCCATTGTCACCAGCAGCAGTGTTTGAGCGCACATGCGCCGGCTGCCACGCTGGGGGAGGAAAACTGCTCAAGCCGGTACGTTGTTGACACAAACGCCTAGCAACGGAGGACTCGATCCCTCCCCATCTCCCCCATCGCCGCCAACAGCAGCAGTTTATGAGCGCATATGTGCCGGCTGCCATGCAAGGGGGGTTGGAAACCTGCGCAAACCGGTACGTTACTAGCAAAGGCCTCTTAGCAGCCCATGAGTCCCCCTCCTCCAGCTTCACCAGCAGCTATCTTTGAGCACACTCCAATCACCCAGCTGCTACGGCACATGTGCTGCTATGCTATGGCACGAGTGTGCTGCTATGCTATGGCACGAGTGTGCTGCTATGCTATGGCACGAGTGTGCTGCTATGCTATGGCACGAGTGTGCTGCTATGCTATGGCACGAGTGTGCTGCTATGCTATGGCACGAGTGTGCTGCTATGCTATGGCACGAGTGTGCTGCTATGCTATGGCACGAGTGTGCTGCTATGCTATGGCACGAGTGTGCTGCTATGCTATTGCACGAGTGTGCTGCTATGCTATTGCACGAGTGTGCTGCTATGCTATGGCACGAGTGTGCTGCTATGCTATGGCACGAGTGTGCTGCTATGCTATGGCACGAGTGTGCTGCTATGGCCGCTGGCAACCTGTCCACATTTGAGGTGCCTCAAGAGCAGCAGTCACAGCACATGTGCTGCTATGGCAGCAGGTGGTTGGGTGTGCTCAAAGGCTTCACCAGCAGCCGCCAGCAGGTAGCAAGCACCAATCACCCAGCTGTCACAGCACATGTGCTGCTATGGCAGCTGGCAGCCTCTCCTCTCAGCAATTCCTTATGCTTTTCCCATCGACTGAATTCCGAGAGTTTGTGTGCTCTTGGAGTTGGTCCATCAATTCTCATTTGAGTTGTTGTTCGCCCCTCAGAGCTACTCCTGTTTTTTTGAAAAATCTCAATACCCAGCTCAATTGTCATACGAGTTGTTGTTCATTGTTAAGGGCTACTCCTGAGAGCAGGCTGGCTGCTGTTGGCTGCTATGACAGCCTTTCCAGTTCACCACATTCTTGAATGGAGTTGTCTCCTTCTCGTCACAGTTTCACCACACACCCCCTTGGTTGTGTTTTTCACGCATCTTCTCCCGTCTCCTCCCTCTTTGTCCGTTTCTTCCTTCCTGCAGGGTGCGGGCCTCTCACTCGCTGATCTCCAAAGGTGAATGCAGTACATCTTCCCTTCCGCATCAACTTCCTCTCTCGCTCTCTCTCGCTCTTTCCATTCCGCACTCTTTTATACCCTCGTCATCTTGCATGACACCCATTCGTTTTGAGACGTCTCAAAACAACCCTGTTTACACGTGGTTTATACCCTCACCATCTTGCATGCCACCCGCGTGCATTGAGGTGGTTTTTGAGGCGCCTCAAAAGCCACCTCAACCCTCGCTCTTTCCATTCCACACTCTTTTATACCCTCGCCATCTTGCATGACACCCATTCAGGCAGTACCTTTTCCTGGCCAATGTGAGAAATTTTACAATTGTCTCGGAATATACATTACTATCCTCCGTCCTCACTCGAGACCCATCGCCTTTCTCTCTCGCATTTTGGAGAGCCTTAGATAAGCCTCACGGTTCGCTTCACTTCACCCATCCCCACTCGTCATTCCCCATGCTCGCTCCAGGAACGGGCTCACCTCAGCAGACGACATTGCCAGGGTCACTGCATTCGGCATCGGTCGCATGCCTGTACGTATTAGAGCATTCTGGACTCTACTAGAATGCCAATATGTATCAGAGCATGTGGGACTCTAGTACCATGTGTAAAATATCTCTTCGCATGTATCCCACTGAACTCCAGTCAGTCTGTATGTACCCAGAATATGGTATCAGATATCTCGTTTTGACTTTTGAGATGTCTCAAAACTGCATGTATCCCACATGCACTCCAGCCATTCTGTACCCTGAAAATGTATCGAGGGCTTAGCTCGACCAATGCTTATCGGTCTTTTCAGTCTTTAGCTTTCGAGACTAAAGAAGCTTGACAAAACGATTGAGTTCTCCCCTCAATGTCTAGAAACTTTATAGAATCCCCGAACGTCTATGAAACCATCCCATCCCATCCCATTTTTCCTTTCCCCCTTCCCCTTCCCCTCTCCTTTCCCCCGTTCCCCTTGCTTCAGCTATATGCCAAGGCCAGTGTAAGCACCTCGCTCCCCCACCACTGCTAGTCCACCATTCAACCTCATGCCCCCTCTCTCATCCCACTCCCCTTTCCCCCTTTCTCCCTGCTCCCCCCATCCCCCCACACACTTACAGGTGCCCTGCCAGGGGCCAGGGCTACGTTGGCTACATGGGGGCAATGCAAAGGCTTTGAGGCTACACTTTCACTGCTCCCCTCTGCCCCGCACCCTCCTCTCCCCTCTCCCCTCCCCCCTTCTCTCTTTTCCCACTCTCTCCTCCTAGGGCTACTGGGAGGAATGCGGCAGTGCACGGTTGCCTTTCTTCCCCCCCACTTTCCCCCCACCCCCTGCCCCCACCCCTCCAACCCTCCCTCCCCCGGCCCTATCTCCCTCCCAGGGCTACGGGGAGGACTGCAAGCCATGCTGGCAGTGAATATGTGCCTCTGGGGCAAGGCTATCTCTTTCCTCCCTCTCTCCCCCACCCTCTCCCTTCCCTGTCGTGTCTTTCCCCTCTTTCTCCTCCCATCCCAGGGCTATGGGGAGGACTGCAAACCGAGGGGCCAGTGCACGTTCGGCCCGCGTCTGAGTGCTGACGTCATCCGCCAGCTGGCAGAGTACACCCTGTCACAGGCAGAGGCAGGATGGCCACGCTGAGTCTGTTTCTTGAAGTTTTACCGTGTAGTACCAGAGAGAAACGAATAAAACGCTCTTAACTTGGAGCTTGGACTGGCATGGCAGGCAGAATTGTATTTATACATCAATATGCACTAGAACGTAGCAATGCCACAATTAAATTTTGTTCTCGATATCATTCTCGCTTTCTAATCTTGTCACATGCAATGACTGGCACTAAAACCGCTCCTGCCCTGGCACATCCAGCAGCGGTCATTGGCATTGCCCTGAGTTACCATGACTCGTATTTATTTATGGCTTCACTGCACCCAATCAATGTCCCCTTGATTGATAGGGCCTGAGCGCCAGCCATTGCCATCAAACTCCAAAGACTACCGTACAACAAATAGCTGCTTGAGTCTTGACCCTTGACACCTCCACTACACTACCACCTTAAACCTTATCTCATTTCTTTGCCCTCCAAACCAATTCTTTCCGCCAGCCTTCTCTTCGCGTCGCTCGCCCTCTTTCCTTCCGCTCGTCGCTCCTGCATGCTTTTCCCAAGCTGAGCGTGGGCTCTCACGATCAGCTTCTGTGATCTTAACGAGGGACTTCAACAACATCACATCACATCACATCAGACCTTCCGTTCGCCCTAGGACCGTTCCCGAGAGTTTCGTGAGTGTACCGAACTGAAGCAGCAAGTACTGGCGCAAGATCCGGCTCGAACCAACTGGCGAACCAATCCTGAGCCCGAAAACTTGGATGTATTTTTATATTGATGGACACGAGAGGATCAACAAACGCTTCGGAGGGGTTCCGCCATTGTCCCCACCACAGGGGTCCATGGTTCCACTGAATGTCGCACGACCAAGCCTTCGGTAACGTACGGATCCGCCTCGATTAGATCGCGAACCACCTCTTCGCGATTGTTCGCACGGACGATCAGCAATGCGCCTGTGGGAGGGTTACCAGTCGCAGCACCTGCGACCATTTTCCCCTCCGCGGCCAGCGACCGGCACAGCTGCACATGCTCCTCGCGAAATTTCTCGCGACGGGTAACAATGTCCGGCACGTATTCGTAGATTACCGCGAACAGCTGCTTCGGATCAGCCCCTTTCCCGGATAAATCTGCGGATGAGCTGCTGCTGCTGGAAGCACATCTTGTTGTGAGTGCGACGCGCCTCGGCGAGGAGAGGAGCGCAAGCGAGCGACGGAATGGCAACGGTCGGCCGTGGTGGAGGGAGAAGCGGCAAGCAATGGCGGTGGTGGCTTGGGAGGTGATAAACGCCGCCATGGCTGCACTATATCTGCGCTAGATTCTGCTGGAAGCAATAGCGGTCTAGACTGCACTAGATCGTGGGAGCATACGACTGGAAGACAATCCGCAGAGCTTGGAAACAGGGCGCTTTGCCATTTCCTCTTGGAATTTGGATCTGTTCACACCAAAGTGGAGTTCAGTTCAGGCTGGATGGATTTGAACGCGACACACGCGTACGCGATTGCCGCATCGCCCGTTGTACATGGCTATCGTTTCGCGATGTTATTGTGAATTGTCATACACCTGCTTGTGTGCCCCCAATCCAGAGAATGCCAAGTATTAGATTGAAACAAAATTTACAGTATAAGAAACATTTGATGTAATTAGGAAGGAATGTCATATCCCTGAGCAACACTAGGTGATTGTCCAAGCTTGCTCAGCTTCCCAGGCTTCTTCGCACCATCCCCCATCCCAAGCGCAGCAGTACCAGCAGCACCACCACCACTTCCAACCGATGACTTGTTTCCTTTTTGTGCCTCCCCCACACTTCTTTCCCCGTCGTCCTTCCCTTCCCCCTCCCCATCACTCGTGTCGTCACCTTCCCCTGCTGCCTCAATTGCTGCTCTGTTCTTCTCCAGAGCTGCTGCCACCTCCTTGGGCATGTATTTCTACAGTGGAAAGGGGAGAGGATAGAGGGGGGAGGGGGTTGGGGAGTGTTATGAAACGTCTCAAAGCATCACTCGTGTCGTCCACTTCCCCTGCTGCCTCTATTGCTGCTCGGTTCTTCTTCAGAGCTGCTGCTACCTCCTTGTGCATGTATTTCTGAGGTAGAAGAAAATTGGCGAAGGGCAGGGGAGAGAAGGAGAGGGTAGGGTGGGAAATTGGTGGGCATGTTGAGATCACGGGACATCCCACAGGTTCTTCTCCAGAGCTGCTGCCACCTCCTTGGACATGTATTTCTATGGTAGAAATAAGGGGGACAGGGTGGAGGGGGGAGGGGGGGGAGGGAGAGAGTGAGGGTGGACACAACATCTTGCTCAGTGACAACATATTAAACACCCACAATGCTAAACAAGGAAGAGAAAAAACGTGGAAAAACAGTAAGGAAAAAAATAAGAGAAAGACAAAAGAAAAGAAAAGAAAAGAACTTTAGGCACATGATTTAGATACAGTAACCAAGAGAACAGATTAAGACTGACCTTACTTATACCGGCATGAGCACAACCTAAAACAGCCTCAACCTTCATCCGGCATCCGGCACTCACTTCATCATGCTTCGCCAGCACTTGAGTCGCAACAAAGAAGTACCCCCCACACCGAGCTCTTGCCACACCACAGGCACCCAGCAGCATTCTCCTTCATCTCTTCATGGCCATCTAAGCTCGCTACCCCTCGTAGTGTTTCCCAGCAGCACTCACCTCATCATGCTTCGCCCTCTCCCACTCACCTCATCATGCTTTGCCAGCACTTCAGTCGCAGCAAAGAAGTACCCCACACTCCGCGCACTCGCACTCACATCCTCCCCCTCCTCCCACTCCCCCACCCCCTTCTCCCCCACACCCCCACCCTCCCCTCTCGCTCCCCCCTCCCCAATCCCCCTCTCCACTACAGCACCCTCCGCCTCTGCAACCCCTAATACAGTCGCCCCTCTCCCAGAAAATCCACTGCTGCTGCTGGCACTGGCGATGCTGCTGCCAGTGAAGGCAGCGGTGTTGGCTTCGCTCAGGGGGCGCAGGAAGCCCTCCGCCACCACTGAATGGCCCTCCCTGAACAGATCAGGCAGAGCACCCCTGAACCGGACCAAAATCTGGCGTAATGGGGGAGGGGTGGGTTGGGGGGGGAAAGGAAGATGGGAAGAGGTGTCACAGTGCAGGAAGCAGCGGTGGTGGCTTGGCTGAGAGGCCGCAGAAAGCCCTCCGCCACCACTGAATGGCCCTCCCTGAACAGATCTGGCAGGGCACCCCTGTAACGTACCAAAATCTGGAGTCAGGAAAGGGGGAAGGAAGAAAAAAGGGCTCGTGGCGCATCCAAGAAAGCAGGGGTGGTGGCTTGGCTGAGCGGCCGCAGAAACCCCGCCGCCACCACCACAGAGTGGCCCTCCCTGAACAGATCTGGCAGGGCACCCCTGTAACGTACCAAAATCTGGAGTCAGGAGGGGGGAAGGAAGAAAAAAGGGATGTGGTGGTTTTGAGACGTCTCAAAACACTTCTATTTACATGAGGTGGCGCATCCAAGAAGGCAGCGGTGTCGGCATGGCTGAGCGACCGCAGAAACCCCTCTGCCACCACGGAATGGCCCTTCCTGAATAAATCAGTCAAAGCACCCCTGTAGCAGACCGGGATCTGCAGTGAACGCACGGAAAAAAGGAAGATGATTATGGTTTTCTATAAGCTGCGTTGGCTTGGCTGAGGGGGCGCAGAAAGCCCTCTGCCACCACAGAGTGGCCCTCCGTGAATAGGTCAGGCAAAGCAACCCTGTAGCGCACGAGAATATGCAGCATTAACAGGGAGAACAGAAGAACAGGAAGGATGTAACAATGAGGGAAGCAGCGGTGTTGGCTTGGCTGAGAGGCCGCAGAAACCCCTCCGCCACCACTGAATGGCCCTCCGTGAATAGGTCAGGCAAAGCAAGACCTATTCACGGAGGGCCTCTCTGGCAACCCTGTAGCGCACCAGGATCTGCAGTGAGAGGGACAGAGGGGGAAAGGAGGGAGGGAGAGAACGGGTGTGAGAGAGCAAGCAAGAAAGTGGTAGTGTCTGCATGGCCTCACATTTGTTACAGACAGGAAATTCTAATAATCACATCTGTTACAAATTGAAAACTTTTAGTCTCACGCCTGTTACACTTTCTGAACTCTTGTACTCACATCTGTTACACTTTCTGCACTCTTATACTCACATCTGTTACACTTTCTGCACTCTTATACTCACATCTGTTACACTTTCTGCACTCTTATACTCACATCTGTTACACATTCTGCACTCTTATACTCACATCTGTTACACTTTCTGCACTCTTATACTCACATCTGTTACACTTTCTGCACTCTTATACTCACATCTGTTACACTTTCTGCACTCTTATACTCACATCGGTTGCAAGGTCAGTGACAACAAACTCCATCTCAATGCTTCCAGCAGGAATGCGCACACTGGTGAGGTGAGGTGCAGGGAGAGGGAGCAGAGAGAGTCGACTCAAAAGGTGAGGTGAAGGGAGAGGGAGCAGAGTGAGACACACACATTCCAAAGGAACGCACATGACAACGAAGAAACGCAATGAAGAAACAACCGGTCGAAATGCTGAATGGAAATGACATGGAAAATGATACTGAAGTTTCTCCCGTCCCCTCCCCTCCACTAGCCCCTCGCTCTTCTCACAAGCCTGGCTCACACCAACCGCCCACACACCAGCACTCCTCTTTATCCTCACACTCCCTCGTCTTTTTCCTCCCACCACCCCTGCTCTCCTTTCTCACCTCCCAACAAACATCCTCTCTCCCCTCTCACATCCCCTCCTCAATTCCCCCTTACATCCCCTCCTCTCTCACTTCTCACATTCCCTCCTCTCTTATCTCACATCCCCTCCTCTCTTCACTCTCACATGCCCTCCTCTCTTCCCTCTAACATCCCCTCCTCTCTCCCCTCTCACCAACCCTCCTCTCTCCCCTCTCATCTCACCAACCTCCTCTCTCCCCTCTCACCAACCCTCCTCTCTCCCCTCTCACTAACCTTCCTCTCTCTCCCCTCTCACCTGCCCTCCTCTCTCTCCCCTCTCACCTGCCCTCCTTCACAAGCCCGCCCAGCCTGAACCGGTTGGCAGACGAGTTCTCTGCAAACTTCTCCAGAGCCTGCAAGGGCGGTGAGCAGGGGCGAGGGATGAGGAAAATGAGAATGAGTGAGGGATGAAGCAGATGGCGAGTTCTCTGCGAACCTTTCCAGAGCCTGAAAGGGAAGATGAGAAAGGGCATGACAAGCAAGGAGATGAGAAGGGGCGAGGGATACGGGAGGTGGGAAGGGGCGAGGGATGAGGGGACGAAAAGGGACGTGGGATGAGGGGACGAAAAGGGACGTGGGATGAGGGGGTGAGAAGGGGCGAGGGATGAGGGAGGTGAGAAGGGGCGTGGGATGAGTAACAGTAAACCCAACTCACCTGGGTGGGCGTTATATAGAACATCAAGTTTTCTTGAAACGAGTTCATCGCAAATATGGCCAGCCCAGCCACCGCGCCTCCACCAATCACAAGCGTCCACATTCGCTGCGTCTGCCGCGCGCGGGCCCTCGCCCCAATGTCCACATGCACTGCACCTGCCCCCGCCCCTGCCCCAACTTTTGCCTTCGCGCCCACAGCGCGTACGCGTCCCGCACTCGTTTTCAGCCATCTCAGACCCCCAATGTCCAGATTCACTGCACCTGCACCTGCACCTGCACATGCACCAGCAGCGCGTCCTCTCCCTCCTGCTCGCGTCACAGCACACGCGCCTCCCCCTGCTCCCCCGCTGCAGCCAAACACAAGCGCCCGCGAAGTTGAAAAGGCAGAGGGAGTGGAAACAGGTGAAGCTGCGGAGGAGGAGGAGAAAGAGGAGGAGAAGAGGGAGGAGGAGGGAACAGCAGCAGCAGAATGGGCGGCGGTTGGGGATCTGGCGGCAAGGTTGAGCACGCGGCGAATGATAGCATCTAGAGGACGGCTGACAGCTGCTGTTCTTGCCGCTGCCGCTGCGGTTTGCATGCTGGCGCCATTACACGCTGCTGCTGCTGATGACGATGACGACGATGATGACGTGTGAATCCGCGTTAGAAGGATCCTTGTCGCGTGTCGCACGCCGTCCGATCGAGACATAGCAACGATCGAAAGAAGCCGAATGATATCAACGGTCGACGTCAATGACTGGACACAGAAAGGTCCGTCTCACTGGCAGATCTGCCTTTGCTGGATCTGGTCCGTTGATCGGATATGCGTTGATGAGATTTGGACCGTTGACTGGATCTTCTCTCTGATGGGCCAGACAGCATCGGACGATCAGATATGGTTGATCTCGAGATCGAGATCGCGATGGCGACGGATCTACCGAACTCGAATGAAGACACGTGGAGGATGAGAGAGGTGTACAGGCACCTTGAAAATGCTCGCCTATACAGCACGCGTGCGCTATGTTGCGGTCGCACAGCCTAGCCGCGCTGCATAAATGAAGCCTGCGACACGAACAGCCCTGCCTAGACACAGCGAGAACAGAAAGAAACCTTGATGCGTGTAAAGGTTTTGTGTTCGCCTCATTCCAGACGGTGGTCCTTTGCTCTTGCCTCCCCAGCAAGAGGCCTTCGAGAATGACGAGGGAGCGGAAGAAGGCTGCGAAGTTTTCAAGGTTACGAAAACGAACATTCGGACCAATCAGACAACCAATTGAGAATTGAGGTTGGTAACCGATTGTTCGCCTGTCTGCAGCCTGAGTTCGCAAAGCAGGCTTCCGCATCTCCAGGGATGGAGGGCGGGGGGGAGTCAATTGTGTGTGTGTGCTAGAACCCTTGGCATTTTCGTCATTTTTAATCCAAGCATCGAAACGCGATTGCTGAACGGTGCGTCTAGCACTTCATCGCTTGGCCGACACCATTCCATTCTACCATGGAACACCCACTGATCCGCATCCGACGGTCGGCAGAGGGGTCAGGCAGCGAAACGCGAGCGTCGAACGGTGCGCCTAGCACTTCATCGCTTTCTTCAACTGCAAGTTCGAAGCAGCCGGCGGCTGCTGGGGAGCTTGCACGCTGTGCAGTCCCTTTCTGCCGAAGCGTTGCTGTGTGTTTGTTAACGCGTGAGTAGATCTATTCGTCACGTAGTTTCACCGCTGCAGGACATTTCTCTGAGATTGGCCGTCACTAGAAAGCGAACCTCCAAAACGCAGTCGAGATCGGTCCTTTGAGGGTCCTGGCGTGTTCTTCGTGGGAAGTCCATCCGATGATTCGAGTCGAAATCAGTCTATTCGGATTTCAATACATGTCCTTCTAGTTCGCTTGACGTTCACCGGACATTTCTCTAAATTCGGCCGTTTCCCTGCAGTTATCGCATGGAGCCTGCTCGCGACATTATTTTCTCGTCGCTTCAGTCATTCGCAAGAACCTGTGCGAGTCGCCTGTGAAAGGGCGAGCTCACGGCAGGGGGAGCTTCACTTCCAGTGGAAGGGCGAGCTCACGGCAGTCACGCTACCAGAAGGCCGGCTTTTGGCAGTTTTCCAGATAGACAGCAGCGACTGCATCGACGAGAACATTGCCGAACGCCGGATTAGTTTCGCGGAATGCGGATTCGTTTCGCCGGGAGAAACGTCATCATGGAGCAACGCTACTACTTTCGAAACGTCTCAAAACGCCACTTTTATAACGTCATGGAGCAACGCTCCTTTCGTGTACTTCGAGGGCCAATCCATCCATGCAATCTGCTCGCGTGCCAACGGAACGGATGGTTCCGCCGAACCCAGCCTGCTGCGGATCTATTACGACACACACAGCATAGATCTGCTCGCACGCAAGCTTCATCAGGCGTCCTGGGATAGATTAGTGTATGCTGCAGCAGCTGAACCAGAAGGCCTATATGTCTGGGCGAAAGGCATTACTAACCTTCAGAACAGGAGTCACGGTCAGGTCAAGTGCATGGTGGACGGAGCTGAGACAGCTCCCTTGATACTCTCCCAGGAGATTGCACTCTGCCCGATCCCTCAAGCCAGCTCAATACGTTCAGCATGTGGATGCCTCAACACTCCAGTCACGCTTTCAGTGCATGGATCACCTTTACCGTCTGTAGCTTCTGTTTGTAGGCTCAACTCCTCACTCGGTTTTATCAGCTTGGTATCCGGTGAGCCACCACAGATAGCCAATCACAGCGAAGACACCACAGCCACTACAGCCAGCCAAAGCGGGCGCAGTGTTCTTCGAAACGGGTATTCCCACACCAGCCGTATGCCATCCATCGGCGATTCCCCCATGAAGCAGTACTACTTGTGTGCATGCACAATGGTCCTTGACAGCGCGAAGTTCATGGGGGAGTGGCTGCTGTACCACGCATTTCTTGGTGTGGAGCATTTCTTTGTGTATGACAACGGCAGTGAAGACGGGCTTTGGAAGTCCATCAAAGAAGCTCAGGGGACCGGCCGTGCTCGAGGCTTTCAAGTTTCAGCCACTATACGTAGCTGGCCCTGGCTCAAGTCACAGGAAGGCGGTTTCTCTCATTGTGCCCTGCAAGCCAAGAAGCTCTGCACGTGGGCCATGTTCTTTGACGTGGACGAGTTGGTCTTCCCGGCACGGATGGTGAAGGAGATTGAGTCACGGAGCCTGTTCGCTGCTGGAAGTCAGTATTCCTTTCTTCTCAACAAGTTTGTGAGAGGTATGGTTAAGGGGCATGCTGCAGCAAAGAAGGCCGCAGGTAGAAACGAGTCGTGTCAACAGCTTGGGCAGATTGCGCTACCCGGCCTTTTGTTTGGCCCATCAGGTCATCAAGAACACCCAGAAAAGGGAGTGGTATCTGGATACACGTGCAGGCTGAAGCTTCCTGATCGTCACAAGTCAATTATTCTCACTGAAGCCATAGCTCCTCCGTTACACAATGTGATACACCACTTCACAATCTTGGAGCATCAGTACTGCACAGCACATGTGGGCAATAAGCGTGCTGCTCTTTTCCACTACAAGTACCAGGCATGGTCGGAGTTCAAGACCAAGTTCAGGAGGAGAGCTTCCACTTTTGTGCCTGATTGGATGCAGATGGATAGAATGCAGTCCAAGGATCGGGTTCCTGACTTGGGTGTTGAGGCGGTTGAACCTGCTGACTGGAAGGATCGGTACTGTGAGGAGAAAGATCCAAGGTTGAAGAGAATTTCAGCACAAATCTTATCAGCCACTTCCCGCTGGCGCTTTGCGAATGCGTTCATTGTCGTGCGCCACACCTTTGGGAAATTGTTTTACTCATGTGGTGGACTCGTCTGATTGTGTGTAAGATGAAACATGTTATAAGTTGTGAAAGGAAAGAGTGCGCAGAACTCAATAATGCGGAAGTGATTACAACGTCTGAATGAACAAGGAGGCCTAGGCACAATATAGCAAGGTTAGCTAGGCCGAGGTCGCGGGGTCGCGAGATGGTTGGGTGCAGGTTCGGGGTTGGAAAACCCGAAAGCGACGCGGTGGTGGCTCGGAAGGCGAGGTCGGCGGGCCGAGCCTGGTTTTCCGAAAGTCGGAGTTGTACGCGTACAGTGTGACCCAGTAAGGAATCCGGAAAATTCCTTACACTACCCCCTCCTTTAAGAAAGGTGGTGAATATCCGAAACACCTCGGCGGGCCAGGTAAGCGTCCAAAACCGGGTGTCCCAGAAGCGAATCAGCAGCGACATACGTGTCGTCCTCGCTCGTGCGGTCTTTCCAGCGAAGCAGGAATTTCACCGAGCGGCCGGCGGCAGTCACATCCACGCGATGGTTAAGAATCTTCCAAGGTTCCAGCGTTGGCTCTGCCACGGGGCGAGTGGTCGGCGCGATGGTTGGTCGAGCAACAGCTGGCGACTGCGGCTGTTCGTAATGACGCAACAGGCTGACGTGGAAGGCGTCATGGATTTTCCAATCGTCGGACAGCAGCAGCTTCACGGTGACAGGTGTCACCATCAGGGCAAATTTTTGGATTTGACATACCCTTAAGATCAGTGTACCCCTAGCTCAAAAAACTGATTATCAGTGTGACCCCCTATAGAAAAACTTTCCCATCAGGGTATTCTTAACTTTCTAAAAATTTACCCTGTCGCATCAGTGTAAGATTATTGTAAAGCCTGGTCAGTTTTTTTTAATGCTGCACGCAATACAGATCCTACTCATCATCAGACATGCCCCAAGGCTGTTCATCGTGGTCATTGTTGCTGCAGTCAGCCAAGTTTCCAGCCAACCTGGCCTTGTTGTCAAGTCTGACAAACAGACCAACTAGCGGAGGTGGCGGTGCCAGCAAGGAAACTGTAACCCTGGCCAATAGTGGCCCTCTGTGTGCCAGCACAGGAGTTGTCAAAGCCGAAATTCCGGCCTCAGTGGCCTTGGTGGAATCCCAGGTTACGGGAAAGTGGGGGTGGGTGAACCGGGGGGAGGGGGGGGGGGGGGTAGGTTACGCGTTACAGGGTAAAACTTGATACGGGATCCGTAAACCCTTGGCCATCAGTGT